TGTAATAAGTCTCTCCAGGCTGGGTGTGGTGCCTCATACCTGCAATCCCAACACTCTGGGAAGCTGAGGTGGGTGGATTGCTTGAACCCAGGAGTTCAACACCAGCTTGGGCAACATGGCAAAACCTTGTCTCTACAAAAACTATACAGCTTAGCCAGGCATGGTGGTGTGCACCTGTAGGCCTAGCTACTTGGGAGGCCGAGGCATGAGGATTCCTTGAGCCCAGGAGTTTGAGGCTGTAAGGAGCTGTGATTGCCCCACTGCACTCCAGCCTGGGCAACAGAGCGAGACCCTGTCTCAAAAAAAAAAAAAAGTCTCTCCTGAGCCAGTGTGGGGCCTGGGCTGGGTGCCCTGAGGTGCAGTAGGTCTCCAGATGACAGGGGCCCTCCAGGCAGCAGTGAATCAGCCCTTGTGGCCTCAGTTGTCCAAGGACCACGTTGGAAAGGCTTATTCTTTCTCTCTACCTATGGGAACCAGTCCTAATGAAATAGTAATTAACATAGAGAAGTTGATCAGATAAAATATATACAGGCTCATATAAATTTTATTCTTTATTTAAAATACAGAAATACTTTTTACATTGTGTTGAAATTTTAAGAGTTAGAAATCATTGAATCACACCAAGGCCCACAATTCACTATACTAGAAAAAAACTACTGTATCAAAAATGAAAACAAACAAATAAAATCCACCTCAAACTATCAAAATCATTAAGGCCAGTAGTGATCGTTTAATTACATTGTACATATCTGACTATGGTGTACCTACCAATCGCTGTTTAAGAGAATACATTAAAAACAGAAAAAATAACCTCTGAATAATGAAGTCATTGCCCCCCTGCAAAAGTTACAAATAATAACGGGCTTTGAAAAATTAAAAGCACATTTCGATGTAGTGTCTTATATATAATAGTCGATTTATGAAGACACTGTATATGATAAAAATGAGTATATCCAACTCACTCCTAAGTAACAGACTACACTTAAACAGCTTGCTTATTACAAATGAGAGATTGGTAAATATACGCAATGAGAATGCATGTGTGTTCATACTCAGATAATGTGTCTGGATGTGCGGAATGTGGCGGAATTAAACTAGAACGGGAATAACGTTAATAAACTCTGCATTTTGAGGCATGTGAGGAATAAAATTCATGTTGTTTCTAAGTTATAGACACAGTGCCTTTTTTTTTTTTTCTATTTCGGTGCCTTAGTGTAATGCCTATTTGCATTTAACCTAGTTTTCTTATGTTTGCATGCTTTGCAAACTGAATTACAGAACCAAATTGCCTATTACAATTTCCCATTATGTAACACAATGACATAGGAACACTTTGAGGTGAGAGGATCGTCCCAACATTAGGAAACTGATTTCAGCACGCTTGCAAAGAGCAAAAATTAAGGAGAGGCTCTTTCCCAGGTAACAGGGTTTACTGCTGTCTCTCTCCAATGTCAATGCTGCTTACCATTACAGTGAGCTACATTCGCTCATGTCTAGTCTGCAAAATTAAATCCACTGGTTTGGTTTTGTTTTTAAAAGAAGCTAGGACCTAAAATGACACCATTTCCTAAGCTGAAATCTTCTCTCTACCTGAGTACTTCCAAGTAAAACATGGAGTTGAACTAATGTTCTGAGATTCCATCGTGTTCATAAGAAATGAAAATGCAGTGAATTTTCATATAATTAGAATATCTGCATTACATATGTTGGGTCCTTCCTGCACACGTGCCTCAGCACAAGCAAATGATGTGGGAACTTTCGCTGATGACCTTTCTGTTAAGTTTGTAAACCCAATCACAGAAATACACATGAACATGCACACACACATCCTCTAAAACTCCTTAATTAGAAGGGAGGAAAGACTGTCTCAGTAGAGAAGAGGAAAGGTAGTTACGCTTGCTTTTTTCTTACCAAGATAAAGAGATGATCTATTTGCACCCTTGCTTTCTGGCTGTTACACGCAGTGTGCGATTAAAGTAAGACGTTTTACCAGGGCAAAGGTGCAGCTGCGGTTCTCCCAGATGGGGCGAGATTGGGAAGCCTCCTGAGCGGGTGTATGGGGTAGCGAAGTTGCATAAAGAGGTGGAAACATGAGATTAACTAAGGCTATGTTGAAAGAAAGAATCCGAAAGTAAACCCATCAATTTACAAAAGAAAAGACATAACATTTCAGTCATCATCATTCCACCTCACAAGCTTAGGGAACATGGATTTCACTAATCAGTGGGCCCTCATTGGTTAGCAGGAGTCTGGGGTAATGACAGCCTAGTGTAGCTAGTAACCCTTAGGCCCCAAGAAGAGAGAAGCTTCGTGATGTTACAGTCACACTTAATTAACAAAAAGTTTTCACTGTTAGCGAAAAGAACAAAAAAATAGCAATAAGACAATTAACGATAAAATGATTTTTTTCAATCAATTTATTTAGTTTTCTTGCATGTGAATAGAATAAAAAGTAAATTTATCCACAAATGTATTTAAAGTATAAAATCTTTATGTTAATGAAATTGCTAATAGATATATACAGTAGAGAAATAATCTAATCCATAGATATCTATAAAATGGAAATATTTGCTCCATAAAGCAATGGATATTTCACATTTTCTTGAGGATAAAATAAGAGGAGCTCTTCTTTAAAAAAAAAAATCCCCAATCAGTCAAAGATATAGCTAGAAGATGACAGAAAAATTAAATATTATGGATTAGACCACGATGGATAATAAAAGAAATCAAAGTTTCTCAAACTGTCTCACACGTGGACAGAAATACGTTCAGTTCCCAGGAGGAAACAAGTTTGACTTCTAGAAAGAGCTTGCAGTGTGTGATTGTGCCGGAGGAAGGCCAGGACGGAAGCATTTCTTTTCTAGAGCCACTGCCTTTCGCTTTCCTCTAAACCACATTTTCTTTTGAGAAATATGTCATCATCTTTCCCTACTCAGAAACAAGCCACTTAAAATGTCCAAAAACAATACCTCACCCCAGAAACACTTTTGATGTAGGTCACTGTCTCTCATCTTTCATGCTGGCTGGACCCTGCTCACTTAAACACGAGGCTCTGACCGGGCTTTGGTCATGAGGCTGTACTGTCAGTGCTAAGTGGGTCTGGACAAGGCTCTGTCTTCTATAAAGAGCTGTGGCATTATCTGAATTGCTAATGGATGTCAGAGTGACTCCGTGCAGATTGCAGGATGGCCAGAGAAGCAGCTTGTGGTTCTCAAGAGGTACACCCAATTGGCACCTCATTCGCCTTCAGGGCTGAAGGAGGAGGGACACCTATTGAGAAGGGCATTGGAAGCTGGATTGTACCAAGTAAGGAAACACACAAGGAAAAGGCAAACGCACGTGCGTAACACACGTGATTTCAAACCTGACATTGATTACCCATGTCATGCACCAGAAATGAGCCCAGTGGCTTTGGCTTTCTCCAAAAATGAAAAAAATCCACCCTCAAGGGATGGTGATGGGTTTCCAACAACTCTTTGAAAAGAATGTAGTTGAGGATGCTACATTTATGAGAGAGGTAGCCTTCAGTCATACATCATTGCTGTAAAGCGACACCCAGGGAGGGGTCTTTATTTCACAGAGCTGTTTGGAGAAGGCTTTGGGAGTGTTCCAAAATTGGAGTCAACAGAAGAGGTTGATGTTGGCCTGTGCAAGTGCCTAGTGCATGAAACTGACTCTAAGGCTCAGATCATGTGGTCGAGCCTCAGAGCAGGGTAGGGTGGAAAGGCAGCTGGGGCACAGGTGTTCTGTGTGGTAGATGTAGACCTTCGGACAGAAAGATGCTGCTGTCCCCACACTGCCTGGCATCACTGTTTAATCACCTGTGTCTCTACTCCTCTCCTCTTGCCACTATCAATTGATGGCACAGCACACTCCGACCTGAGGGAGGGTGTTATTCTTAATGACAGGAAATCGAGCCCAGTGCTAAGCACTGGGAGAACCTATGGACTCTTGACATAGGATTTTAAGAGAGCACATCTGGGGCTTCACTTGTGAAAGCAAATCTCCTCTAAAAGTGTGCTTCTGCCCAGAACTACTTCTAAGTCAGTGGAATTTCCTGAAGCCTGGGAGAGTCACAGTGAGTGTTCTCTCCAGTCCAGAATCTTGGTGAGGCCATGTGTGCTACTACCACTGAAACCACAAAGGAATTTGCTGTGGGAAGTGTCCCAGCAGTTGCTTATTAGCATTAGAACAATTACACAAAGTCCATTATTAGCAGACTTGTTTTCATGATCCTTAACTGGTGGCAATAAATAGCAGGTGATTCTCTTTCAAGCAAATGCTAGATATCCAAAGATCCAGGTTCCAACTGTCCGTACAGGAATCATTTCAGATTAGGACAACCGTTGGAGTGGTTGGCATCCCAGAAGCTGAGGCGCACAGCACTCTTCCTGCAGGAGCAGGGCGGGACACATGGGAGCTGCCTGCGGGTGGATGGGGGGGAAGCTGCTGGATTTGACATCACAGACTGGAAATAGGAAGGTTTGTTCCCTCTGGAAGTCTGACCATCTGCTGGACCATCCCAGGGTTCTCAGTGTGGTCCTCTTATGCCATAGGGAGGGATATGGGCACATGGCAAGGCAACAGGAGAACCCAGCAGGTGCTCAGCTCTTGGAGTGTTTATAACCAAAAAACCAAATCAGACCCATGGACAGGCTTGCACTTTCTCCTTAAAAAAATTGCAGTTTAAAAAAAAATCACCTACTCCTTCACAATCCCATGTCTTATTATCTGAGGTTTAAAAAAAAAGTGAGTCCAATCCCCTTCCCCTCTACCCCCGGGGAGAAGAGCTGAGAAGTTGCCCCTTCAGAGCAGAGGTCAGACAGTGCCTGCCGCCTGCTGACACATGAGAAAACCTGGCTGTTTCTTTAGAACGAGAGCAGAATATTTCCCTCTTCCAAGACCTTCTGACAGTGACTAAATCTGAGTCCCTGGTCACCTATGGGCATTTCCAATTATCTTCAGAGATTTGACAAAATCTCCTGAAATAATCTCAAAAATAATTTTTAAAGAATTTTAATTAAAAAAGAAAATTCCATATAGCACATAGATACAAAAATAAGCGATTGCAGCATGAAGGGTTGGGGCTGCTAGAATAGCTGCTCTTTTATTGTTTTTCTAAGACGCTTTCGTCATAGGCTTCCCTCTCTCACTGGTTTCCTTCTCCCGTAAACCAACCTTAGTCCCATATTCCTTCCCAGTGTATTTAATATAGTTGGTTCTCTTTAGTTCTTCACTCTCTTTTCTTGCTGAAAGGAACAAAAAAAGTCAGCAGACCTCCTGGAGGGAAACAGTGGGAGCCCAGTGTACTCTCTGGTAGGCACTAAACGTCCTCAAGACAAGTGTTCCCTGTGGTGGGCTCCCCATCTCTCCAGAGTCACCTGCAGCCCAGGCTTGGCGCATCCAGCCAGCCTCCTGAGGGGCAGGCTCAGCCTTAGAACAGCCCTGGTCACCCAGCTGCCTCCAGGGCATACCCTGATGGCATAAGAGGGGACTCTTAGGGGGCCGGGTGTGGTGGGTGGATCATGAGGTCAAGAGATCAAAACCATCCTGGCCAACATAGTGAAACCCTGTCTCTATTGAAAATATGAAAACTAGCTGGGCGTGGTGGTGTGCGCCTGTAATCCCAGCTACTCGGGAGGCTAGGACAAGAGAATCACTTAAACCCAGGAGGCGGAGGTTACAGAGAGCCGAGATCATGCCACTGCACTCCAGCCTGGCAACAGAGCGAGACTCCATCTCAAAAAAAAAAAAGAAAAGAAAAGAAAAGCAGAGAGGACACTTAGTAGTAGCAACCAGACCAGACCAGACCAGACTAGAGTGGGTTCTGCCTCCATATTGCAAGCCAAGCAAAGGCAATGGCTGATACACTCCCGAGCACTGACTTCCTAAGACTCTCCCAACTACAGTGTCATGAAACACACACACACACCCCACAGACACACACACACACACAGAACACACACACACAGACAAGACCCACATCTTCCACCTCAAGTCTTTGCACAGGGAATAATGTGCTTCATGAAATATTTAAAAGGCCTTAGGCAATAGAATTGCCTCTTGATATTTTTTTTCAAGTGTTTGACAAGTGTAATTGGAAATGTTTGGAACGTGAACACAGGCACACACACATACACACTCTAATTTGGAATTATGCAAAATGAGATCATTATTCACTACAACCTGAAGCAAAGCTACCGCAATGGAATACCAAGTACCGTATCTGTACAAGTCACAGGCCCCTGAGTCGGCTCTCATTTGGACGAGGGTGACCCACGTGGCCTAGCCCTTTAAGGTCTGTTTAGAGGAAATGGCCTGGCGTGTTTTACATTTGTGAAGGTATTTAGCCTCCTGGTTTGACAAGATTTTTGAGAGGGGTGAAAATTAATTATAATTGCGGTATTGCTATAATAATTTGGTCGACTAATTGCATTTCAGTGCAGAAGCAGTCAAGGAAGATTTTCCTCCCCAGGTTATTCTCTGATGTGGCAGCATTTATTTTAAAAGTAATGAGATTTTTAAAAAGTCAAACCTTAAATATCATGGTTTCAGCAATCTGTCCTGCTTAAAGTTTAATGTGAAATGAGATAGCACCTCTGCGAGAGCAGTTCCACGGATCCAGTTTTCTCCAAGACTTGAAAGGAGAACATCTCTCTCCCCTGAAAACTACTCAAGGCATCTCTTTGACATTGTTTGGGGCTGATTTTTATTTGGGAGCACCAATGTTTGTGGCCCTGTAGTGAAGGAGGCATTGATGAGGGTGCATAGGAAGTTTTGAAAACTTAATACTGGAAGTCACTAAATGAGGTATCTTTTGCTGGAAGAGTACCATGAGTAACAGAAGGTTGAAACAAAAAAGAGGAGTGAAAAACCTGGGTTGTTGTGGGATTTTTCTGGATCTCATTGTTTTCACATTGGCAGTTCTGAATACATAACCTGTCCATGGCTGTTTTGAGGGAAACTTATCTAACTCTAGACCAGCAGTGAGCACTTATGATTAATAAACTCTTGAGAGACAGGCCCTATCACCTTAAAATCTTGAAGACTCTGTCCCAAGGCCTGAGTCAAGGTACTTTTCTCAGGTGCTGAAACTGTCAGAGGCGTTGGAACCAGAGCAACTCCATCTTGAATAGGGGCTGGGTGAAATGAGGCTGAAACCTACTGGGCTGCAGTCCCAGACTGCTAAGGCGTCCTAAGTCACAGGATGAGATAGGAGGTCGACACAAGATTCAGGTTATAAAGACCTTCTGATAAAACAGGCTGCAGTAAAGAAGCCAGCTAAAATCTACCAAAACCAAGATGGTGATGACAGTGACCTCTGGTCCTCCTCACTGCTGTACTACCACTAGCGCCATGACAGTTTACAAATGCCAGGGCAATGTCAGAAAGTTACCCTATATGGTCTAACAGGTGGAGGCAGGAATAATCCACCCCTTGTTTAGCATAACATCAAGAAATAACCATAAGAATGGGCAGCCAGCAGCCCTCAAGGCTGCTCTACTTATGGAGTAACCCTTCGTTTATTCCTTTACTTTCTTAATAAACTTGCTTTCACTTTCCTGTATGGACTCACCTGAATTCTTTCTTGCATGAGATCCAAGAGCCCTCTCTTGGGGTCTGGATCAGGACCCCCTTCCTGTAACAAAACCACCAGACATCAAGCTCTTCCACTATCTGATAACTTAAGCTCAATTCAGCGAGCAAGTTTAGCACATCCTCCTCCTCGCCTTCTCTGCCATGCTCTGAGTCCAGCCACCATTTGTGCGCCTGAAAAGGAGGCTACAGTGTGCTCTCTCAAATACTGCACATCAAAACGAGCCTAACGGCATGGCATGGACCATTTCTTACGGCCTTCATCTGGATTCTAAGTAGCGGGTTGCTATGGAGATCTACCCAGGGCTGCCCTCGTGGTTCTGCCCTCTGCACAATGGCAGTTGATCAAGGGGTGAGGAGGTTGAGCTCCCATCCTGCTTCACTTGCCAGCTGAGACCCCTGCTCAGGCTGCATCCCAGAGAAAGGAGTGCCTTTTCTGATTCACCTTTTGGCCAAGGAAGGCCCTGAGTCATCCCTAACCTCTCCCAGAAATTCCCAAATCAAATGTTCATCTCCTCATCTCCAACACTGCTGATGTCCTTTTAAGGAAGAGAATATGTGTGTGACAAAGGTGGATTCATTTTGAAGATATGCCTTCTGCTCAGGGTGAAAGAAGAGAAAGGGAGAGAAACACAGAAAAGAATAAAAAGAATGGCGGGGAAGTTGTCCCTCTGCCTAATAAATTGTGGATTCATTGTTCTTCTCTGGACATAGCTGCAAAAGGGCAGAAAATCAATTTTTTCTATTACTCCATGGTAAGGAAGGAAAACCTATTTGTAAATTGAATTAAACCCCATAATAGCATGTCTGTGTATTTGTTGAGGACTAGAAAAATTAGCCACAGATACAACTACATAATCCAGCAATGTAACTAGAAATCAACACTCTCCCGTTTCAAAGCTTCGTTGAGACACTTTCTTTTCCTTTTTTAAAGAAACACCCATGGCTAAATGTCACTAAGATTCTTCAGCATGCCAACACTTCAACACCTCAATAAGGACTCTGGAAGGGAAGGAACTCCAAAGACCCATCTGGGTAGAGCGTGCTTCCAAATTCTTGCCTTTGCTAGTGGAGTACCAATCAGTCAGTCAACGATGATTGGATACGAACTAGACCCCTCTAAGCTGATGGTTTCTTCCCAAGTCTCAATCTGTGGTGCTGACTGTGGAATAAATCCCCTGTTTCTGTGTGGGCTAGATCTTGTTCACAGACACCCATCCACTCAGCACTGAATAATCCTGCTACTGCAGTCAGCGAGAGTCCTGAAATTTCATTAGCAGTCTGCCCTCTAGTGGAGCAACACAGCACTTCAGATTTTTTAGGAATAGAAAAGATTTTTTTTTCTTCTTTTCTTTCAGGGAGCAAAAGAATTCAAGTTTTCCAGCTAGTGCAAGGTGAGGCAGTCATCTTCGGAAGTCGGCTTCCAAAGCTGAGGCAAACAAGGCTCACACGGATAAGTCCCCAGGTCAGAGTTAGAGGCAGATGGTGCTGAGGTGGGTGTCCCTGCAGAGCCCACAGGGACAAAGGTCCTTCTTTCATTCTTTGAACCCTCCAGTACTCTCGTTGCGAATAAGCATTCATAATTCTCTCATTACGCAAATAGGACCCACTTTAAGAGCAATTAGCATAACAGGGATGTGAAAAAATCAGAGGCTTTTGTAATTTTTTGGCAAATTATTAACACAAACGAACTTTTCAAAAGGTCCACGTTAAATTCTTAAAAAGGCAAAGATTCACAAGTTTTATAGAAAGACCAAGTCTTTGTGTCTGTGAGTTTTAAGGGGAGAGTCTATCTTGTGATGTTGACTGGATGCTGGTAAGGCAGAAGATAATCTTGCGATCTGTTGTTTCGGGTTTCGCTTTTGTCTTTTTTTAAAAGTCAGAACTTAGCTTGCTTCAGTTTGTCAATGTGGTGGCAGAGTTTCAGTGCGGGTCCCAGCTTCAGGCCCAGGTACTTCATGACCATGTCACTCCTCAGCAGCAGCAGAGCATTGCCATCAATCTCCTGGTGGGACAGGACCAAAAGCAAGAAAACCCAGAAGGTGGTCAGAGTCATCAAACAGTGGCTGAGGTTAAGGTGTGGTCAGGGAATGCGCTCAGGGCATATGGGTTTATTTAGGCAGCATGTTCTCTCGGGCCTGGGCCAAGATCTTTTAAAATCTTAAAGCGAACAAATACTGTGTGCTCCTCTCCCCATCACCTCCCTGGAGTCATCCGATACACGGGATGCTTCATATTCCTGCCCTCCCCTGACAGAAGAAATCAAACGTAACCCGATGTGTGTTCCCAATATCCCACTTACAAAGTTTATCTCCTCATCCAACCTTGGCTAAAGGAGCAAGAAGTGTCCTCCATTAGACCCTGAAACTAGAGGGTCTTTCCATTCCAAACTTCATTGCCCTGATTTCTCATTTCTTTCCTTGGTAGGCCCACCTACCTGTACCTCATTTCATAGCCACTCATTCCACCCTATGGAGGATTTCAGGTGTGTTATAGTCCTGTCTATTACACTAGATGGAATGCACTAAATAATGCACCTGCTTCATCTCAGGGCTCAGCACAAAGAACTACCAAGGGGACGAGCCAGTCCTTTGAGGTTTGGTTCTGGCGTTGCTGCCATTGGTCTCTGAAAATGGTCCCCCTCCAGAATGCATACTGACTTGAGGAACCTAGCAAGGCTGGGCTTCCATGCTCAACTGTAGTGCTATTTTCAGGTCACTGGAGACAAAGGGTAGAAATGTGGAGTGCTCAGGCAGGCGGGGAGAAGAGACATAGTTAGAGGACTTAATGGTGCCAGGGTCGCCAGCCCTCTCATTCATCCGCCCAGCCAGGCAGTACTGATGGAGCACCCATTCTGTGTCATTCACTCTCCATGTCCTTGGCAAAATGGCAGTGGGCAAGGCTTACCTGTGGGCCACCCGTAGGAGCCTCATTTCCTACTGTCTTTTCTTTCCCTCACCTCCTGGATTCCCACCATCCCCTCCCACCCTGCCAGACTCCTCCTGCCCAAATCTGTCCAAGCATAACCCACTCTGTGGTTCTTGGTCTCAAGGCCCCATTGTTAGGTTAGGTCAACGTATGCCTAAAAAAAGGCAAGTGCTGAGTGAGATGAGGATCCTCCTCAGATGGAAAAGCCTGATTTCTATGACAGGATCACCAAATAAGATGAGAAACAGGAAACAAAAATACTGTAACTGTGGAAGGTGGAATAACGCTCCTGCCCCTCCATGTGCAACGTTTGTATTCTAATCCCCAAACCTGTGAATGTCAAGTTACCCAGCAAAGGGGAATTAAGGTTGCAGGTGGGATTAAGTTTGCTAATCAGCTGACTTTAAAGTAGGGAGATTATCCTGGATTATGGGGCAGGGCTGGGGGGAAGGCTGTGTAATCACCAAGCTCCTTAACCGTGGAAGAGGACATCAGCAGTGAGGACCAGGGATGGCAGCCAAGCAGCCAAACAGGACTCAGCTTGATGTTACAGGCTTTAAAGATGATGGCGGGGGATGGGAACAAAGGACTGATGGTGGATCTAGAAGCCAGAAAAGGCCACCAAGCAGATTGTTCCTTGGAACCTCCAGAAGGAAACGCAGCCTTGCTGGCTGAGCCCAGTGAGACCCATGTCAGGCTCCTGACCTCCAGAGTGGTAAGGCAGAGAATGTGTATTGTGTGAAGTCACTATGTTGGTGGTAATTTGTTACAGCACAATACAAAATGAGTACGGTGTCAGGTGCAGTGGCTCACACCTGTCATCCCAGCACATGAGACCAGCCTGGCCAACGTGGGGAAACCCCATCTCTACTAAAAATACAAAAATTAGCCAGGCGTAGTGGCAGGCACCTGTAATCCCAGCTGCTTGGGAGGCTGAGGCAGGAGAATTGCTTGAATTGGGGAGGCAGATGTTGCAGTGAGCTGAGATTGAGATCGCACCACTGCATTCTGGCCTGGGTGACAGAGTGAGACTCTGTTTCAAACAAAACGAAAGAAAAACAAATAAAAACAAAATGCGCGTAGTAAGCGTGGCAGGTAAATTATTGATTCTTATCTTTAAAAGAATTTTACCATCCCTCTATATTTCAGCATATCTCAAATCATGATGATGGTATCTGCTAAGGGAAGGCATCTGAGTCGGGAACCGTGCTGAACACCTTCTGTGCCTTTTCCTATTTAGTTCACAAAGCGGTTTAGGAACAGGCGCGACTGCGGTTTGCCTGGCATGTCTTAGGTGTGCTGTCTACGTCTGTTGCATGCACAGACGGCCGGATGGGCAGGAAACAGGCACTCCTGAGGCAGGCCAACGTGAGAGAACAGATGGAGCCAACATCCCTTTACAAACAAATTAACTGGTCGTTCTGCTCTGTGGTTGTATCTGTCCCTCTCATCTCTGGCTCCCTTGAGGGTACCCCTAGTGCTTAGTTTAGAGCCCCCCCAAGCCCCCTGGCAGCACCCTGCAGTTCCCTGGACCTGACTCTCCTTCCATGCCTGCTTCCCCAGTCCCCCCAGGGTCAAACCACCACTCGCATACGTGCTTTCTGAAGAGCTCCACGTGAGGCCCCAGAGCCTGTGGGTCGGCATCCTTCACAAACCACACCACATCCTCCACAGTCCAGGTGGAGGGGTTTCTGCTCCGTGGCCGCCTGGCATCCTGCGCGTCCTGAGAAGGGCTTGAGGCTGGATGGAGAACAGAGAGGGAGAGCATGAGCCAGTGGGACAGGGCCTTGTACCCACCTGCTGTTGCCTGCCCCCACCTAGCCTGGGAGGGGGATCCTCAGTGCCCATGAGTCCAAGGAGCTGGCTCGAGTGACCTCCTGTCACAGGGAAAGGCTGTGAGTGGCAGCTCTGTCTACAGCCCAGAGCATGGAAGGCCACTCCCAGATACACTGCCCTCCCAGGAGAGAGGCACTAGACAGTGGATTCCCTTCGACGAGCTAGAATTCTGATCTGAGTTGGAGTTTTCGAGACCCTCTCTCTCAGCGGGCCCAGGGCCTCCTGAGCCTGGGCACTTGGTGAACAGGGCAAGTGTGCTAAGATAAATGTCCAAATGAGCCTCATCATGTCAGCGAGGCCAGTGACTTGGGGTCCTTTCTGTCTCCATGGCCTTCACACTGAGATGACAAAGGCATGGCAGAATCGAGGTGCCTTGTGGTTTCTTATTCACGGTCTCTGCGGAATGCAAGTCTGTTGCAGCCATCCTGGTCTGCACATGCAGAAAGATGTCAGCTCACTCACTGCCCTGGGTCCACACCGAGCCCCTGCATGGCCCTCTGGGGCTGTCAGAGCAGTTGCCGGGATCCCCTCTGCTACACCATGAACTCCCTGACCCCAAAGGACCTAACCTGTGCCTGGTCCATAGCTGGTCCTTGGGAAATGGTTGCATAGGGCATTTCCCATGCAGCAGGTGGAAAGATTCAGGATAGCGAAGGAAGAAGACAGCAATGAATTCAATTGCTGGCAACATTTAGGGATTGATCTTTTTGCCTCTACGTCCCAAACTAGCTCATCCTCTTTCCCTAGAGCAAGCTTCTCTTCCTGTCTCCCTCATTTTGGGAACCCACCTCTACCTCCTCCCCTTTTTGTGCTCCCCACATTTCATTATTCTGAAGCTCTTGGGAAAATGGCTTCTCCTCTGGTCTCTTCCCTTTCATCCCTGCTGCCCCAGCCCCAGAGCCTGTCACCCAACCCCTGCCATGGGTTCCTAATGGGTATTTTGGGGCCATACCCTTTTTTTTTTCCTACTGCCTACAACTGCCTGCCTCACATTCTCCCTAAGACCATCTCCCCATGGCTTCCTCTTACCTACACACAGAGCCCTCACTCTACCTCAAGGTCAAGGGCTCCCTTTGGTCTTAATGTTTTCCCTTGGGAGGCCGAGGCAGGGAGATCACAAGGTCAAGAGATCAAGACCATCCTGGCCAACATGGTGAAATCCCATCTCTACTAAAAATACAAAAATTAGCATCTGTAATCCCAGCTATTTGGGAGGCTGAGGCAGAAGAATCACTTGAACCCGGGAGGCGGAGGTTGCGGTGAGCTGAGATCACACCACTGCACTCCAACCTGGGCGACAGAGTGAGACTCCATCTAAAAAAAATAAACAAACAATATTTTTCTTCTTAATGGAGGGTAGAAGGGCTTTGGTGCCAGAGAGACCTAGGGACACATCCTGGAGCTGCCCCTTGCTGGCCCATCGTGTGTGAAGGGGTACGTGTGTGAAGCTTTCTACGTGGAGGGGTAGGTGTGAGGATAAAGATGGGCTAGCACCCTGCCTCTAGGCCGACCTGTGTCAGGTGCTCCACCGAAGGCAGGAGCCCCTCCCTTCCCGACGCCCCGTCTGTGTGGGTACACTTGCTGTGACCGAATGTCTCCCCAGCTTCCCTGCTCCGCCTGTGGCTGCTGCTTTGGCTTTAACCAACAGGGCGTTCATCCTCTCTCCTTCCCACTCACGATCCACCGCTGCCTTCATGCACAGAAACATTCTGTGCTTCCTGCAGCCTAGGTGTTACCTTCCTACCTCTTTATTTTATTATTTATTTTTTTGAGACGAATTTCACTCATGTTGCCCAAGCGGGAGTGCAGTGGTGTGATCTCTGCTCACTGCAACCTCCGCCTCCTGGGTTCAAGTGATTCTCCTGCCTCGGCCTCCTGAGTAGCTGGGTTTACAGGTGCCTACCACCACACCCAGATAATTCCTGTACTTTACTAGAGACAGGTTTTCACTATGTTGGTCAGGCTAGTCTTGAACTCCCGACCTCTGGTGATCCACCCGCCTCGGCCTCCCAAAGTGCTGGGATTACAGGCGTGAGCCACCGCGCCCGGCCTCCTACCCCTTTATTCCCACATCTTTATTTGTTCATCTATCTCTTAAGGTGCTTTCACATTGCACTTTGTAGTACAATTACGAACTTCTCTAGAACCTCTAGTTAGGTTTTAATTTCCTGAGGATTCCTCCTACTCACTCCACAGACATAGACTGAGTACCTTCTCTGTACCAGGTCCTGGGTGAAGTGTTTGGTGAAAAATACCAATATGATTCTCTAATGACAGGGGCTATAATCACGGACTCCTCCATGGCTCTGAGTACATATACAGTCATGCACCGCCTAATTACGGCGGTCCCGTAAGATTATAATGATTCTAGGGATTCTAGTTCCTATCGCCTAGTGATTTGTGTTGCAATTTCCTACGGTATGCAGTAGAGTAACATGCTGTACAGGTTTGTAGCCCAAGAGTCATAGGCTATCCCACACCGCGTAGGTGTGCAGTGGACTATACCGTCAAGGTTTGTACAAGTGCAGCCCATGATGTGCACACAACAATGAAATCACCCAGGGATGCATTTCCCAGAATGTATCTCATTGAGTGATGCATGACTGTGTTTATAAACATGGGCTTGACAAATGTGAGATGAATCAATGTACTTTGCAGACACAGTCTAGGTAACTTAGAGAAAAGGCTGTGTGTGAAATCTTTACTTCTATTTTAAGGCTAGAAAAAAAGTCAAGGCTCTGAAAAAGGAAGCAGCTTCCCTACAGAAGAATTCTAAGTTAGAAGCTGAGAAGCCTTCATTTATCTCCCTTCTTTAAATCTCAGGGCACAGTGGCTCTCCGCTGTCTCTGTCTCCTTCCTCCTTTTCACGTGCCTGAGACGAGCATGCTGCTCCATTCGCGCTGAGGAAAATACAGCATCATATTTCTGCGTCTGTCCTTAACACATAGTGGTCTGGCTGAGAACTGGATTGACTTTGAGATTTTTCCCTGCCTCTTCCTTGTGGGACCTGGAAGGGTCCCATAAGGTGGTTTGGCATGGGGCATTTTTCTGGGAATCTGTTAATGTACCCCGGAGCCATCTGAATGCTGATCCGTGCTCATTAAAGATGATTTTACTCCATTTAGACATCTGCACTGGACATGGGGACGAGGAATCACGAAATCACATTGCCTTTGAATCCCACCCCATCAGAACATCGGCATTAATCAGGGTGGTAATAGATTACAAAGGCTGGAAGTCTTTAGTGCCAAGAATAATTTTAGAGTGATCAGCGCAGAGGTCAAATCTAATTTCCTGCATCTGACAGGAAGTGGGGGAAACCCAGACCAGTTAACAGGATCATTCACAGGAACCTAGAGTCCTTTGAGCAAGGTCAGGGAAACACGTTCCCCGCAGCCACAGTGGGCAGGGCTCAGTGAGGTGGCTGGTTTGTCTTTAAGGAGGAGGCTCTCGAGACGATCGCTGTGGAAGGAAAGAAGTAACTGAGATGGCAAAGTGGGCTCTGTTCCTGCTACCCAGTGCTTGCTGTGGGCACTTGTCACTTTTCCAGGATGGGGCAGAGGCAGCAGGGGCCTGGGTCAGGCATGTTTCTTAGGGGGCTTTTAGTCATACAAGACAGAGGGCAGCAGGCAGCCTAAGTTGCGCAGGAGACCTGGGTCAGCTGCTCCAGACAGCTTCCAGATGCCCACACGGACTTCTCCGTGGCATGGGGACATGCGGCTAGCTCAGTGCACTGAGTGCATCGGGCAGGATCAGAAGGATTGAGATGCGACGAGTATTGCATCACACTGCTAGAGAAGAATGAAACAGTAGTCAGTAGTGGCTGGAACCCTGTCTCAGCGGCTGCGCTGGGTGCCCCTCCCGGACAGTAGTGGTGGCTAACTTGTGACACAAACCAGCTGTCCGATGCAGGCAGCATGTGCTGAGCAATCAGCATGTGTGTTGACTGTTGGTAGCGTGCGATGTAGAGCGTTGCTCGTGACTGGTAAGACGACTTTACGAGTGTCGACGGGTACACACGCAACAAAGGATGACCTGTGCTGAGAACTAAGTCGGCCCTGTCTTGGCGTGTGGCAGGGTTCTCCAACAAGGAGGACATTGTGCTTGGTCTTGTCATTCTGTGGGGGCTGCCAGAGGCACGTGCAAAGTGAAGCCCAGTTAGGAATGGATTAAATAAGCTTGTTTCTAAAGCTGAACTCACCTTGACCAGAGATAGGATGGCTATGAGTCAATGTTTCAAAGCAATCCTGATGTTCACAGCACAGGTATATGCATACTCTCTGTGAATCTCTCTCTGCCTTACACATGCCCATGAGTACATACATACATATAGAATTTCCTTTTACTCATTCATAATTCAGGAGAGACTCTTTAGCTAACCATGGAGTCATCTGGAGGAGCAGAATGAGCAGTGAGCTGGGAGTCAGAAATCCCTGCCACCCACCAGCCCAGTTGATCACCCACCAGTGATCAACTCTGTGCTTCTCTGTTGTAAAATAAAAGGGTTTGATCTCTAAGCCCCTGCCTGCCCCTTATGACACTGGGCCAACCCCTCACACCTCAGGCTGTTCACATGAAGGGAGTCACCTCCTCCCACAGCTGAAGGTGGCATCAGCCTGTCCACATGCAAAACACATTGAGGGTAGCTACAGCCAGGCTTCCCGTCCATCCCAGGCTCTGATCATTCCCTATGGACCTCATTGTCTTCATCTATAAATTGTGATTATTGTTTGCTCTTTCTTAAGAATATTTTAAGAATTAAGAGAATGTGGCTCAGGGTTGGAGCCTGACCAAGAGAATCTTAAAGGGAGGAATGTCGTTGTCTCTGACAGGGACCCCTGTGTCCTCAGGCTGCCGGTGAGCTGCCCAGGCCCTCTTGGTTTCTGGTGGCTGGAGCTGGGTTGGGAGGACCAGGGTTGGTGAGGGGAAGAGGAGAGAGCTCTGTTCTCAGCATCTCCAAGTAACCTGCTCCCGCTAGATACATCCTTTCTAGATACAAGGCCATATCAAATATGTGAGGTGCCCAGGCTAGCCCACAATTATGGCAAAATCATGTGTCTTGAAACAGTGCTGTTGTTCATTATTTCTATCTGTTGCCCAGGTTGGAGTGCAGTGGGGTGATCTCAGCTCACGGCAACCTCTGCCTCCCAGGTTTTCAAGTGATTCTCCTGCCTCACCCTCCCAAGTAACTGGGATTGTAGTCATGCGCCACTCATTCTATTTAGAGTTTTCAAGATAACATGAGGTGAGAGAGATGAGAGGGAAGAGAGCCCACCCAATCCTTAGAGTTTAATCAGGTTTTTCTTTAAATTATTTGAGACCAGCTGGCCTACCTGTGTGAGGAGAAAGCATGTCTCTAGAAACAAGGAGAGCTTGTAGGTTTGAAGGCAAGCTGAGCTGAGCTAGACTCCTTCTTGGCCACCAGCAGACACTATGACCTCCTGGCAAGCACTGTGGCCTCTGCCGGGAAGCTTCCAGCTGCCCCACCTCGCCGCTGGCCCTCTCTGGCCATCTTTCCTTGGGCCTATTCCAGCCAGCTCCACTGTCCCTTCTCTGGGAAGCCTTTCCTGACTCCTAAGGGTAGGCTCAGCCCTCCCTCCCCATCTGATTCTCCCACAGCATCCACACTCTTCCCTTGCAGCAATCATCACAACTGTCATTCAATTTGCATAATAATTTGTTGACATTTGTCTCCCTGGAATTGCAGACCCTTAGAGAACAGGGCTGGTGTCCGTCTAGTTCACAGATCTGTCCTCAGTGTGAGAAAAGCCCCTGGCACACTGTCCAGGAAGTCTCTGCTGGCTAGGACCAGCCAAAGCCTCTCTGAGTCTTAGTTGCCTCATCTATAAAACACCTTTCTGGGCTCTTGCAGGGAGTACATGGCATAGTGTTGTTAAGCATTAAACAGGATTCCTCATTAGGTAGTTACTATTCTTGTTTTGATGATGTCATTCAATAAATGGCCAGTAGATTTGTTTTTCTAAGTCCCAGAGCCACCAGCTCACTCCCCTGTTCAGAAGTGTCTAGTTTACAATGACTGCAGAGCAAAGTCCCATCTGCCTGACATGGACCCCAAATCTCCCAGCATGGTTTCCCTGGTGCCCCTGCATCAATTCTTTTTCTTTCTTCTTCTTCTTCTTTTTTTTTTTTTTTTTGAGATGAGGTTTCGCTCTGTCACCCAAGCTGGAGTGCAGTGGCGTGATCTCAACTCACTGCAACCTCTGCCTCCCAGGTTCAAGTGATTCTCGAGCCACAGCCTCCCAAGTACCTGGGATTACAGGCCTGCGCCACCATGCCCAGCTAATTTTTGTATTTTTAGTAGAGATGAGGTTTCACCATGTTGCCCAGGCTGGCCTTGAACTCCTGACCTCAGATGATCCAGCTTGGCCTCCTGAAGTGCTGGGATTACAGGTGTGAGCCACTGTGCCTGGCACAAACTCTTTAATTAATCAGCTCTTGCCATGCCTTTGTCCACTTCCTCACACAGAAAGGAAGTGGACAATTTTTCTAGCTAAATTGTCTCCATCCCTCACCCAATGCCAGATCCTATCCAATAAAAATCCAGCCACAGGAATCATTTGGGTTGTAATAGTAACAATGTCAGATTGACTTCATTTCTTGATTCTGAATCTAGTTGTGGTTGGGAATTCTACCATGTGTCCTGTTAAATGCCAAAGTCAGAAAGCTTTTGTTATCCAAACCCTCTTTATAGCTCTTGGTGATTAGATCTTGGATGAGAGACAAGGAAGAGCCCTCAATCCTTCAGCAGAGCATCAGCAGACGCCGGGGGAAATGCGCCCTGGGAACACATCCCCTTGGAGCCCACTGGCAGCAGAGACGGACATGATATATCAGGACTGCAGGAGGTGAAGGGTAAGTACCCCCACAGAAAGAAGGCCGGGGAGTTTGTCATGTCACCAACACCTACCCCTCTGCCTGCGACCTCATGCAGTTTTCTGGCTTTTGTGGTTTTAAACCATTTTGATTAGTCCCACAGGGGAAAAGGCCATTTCGAAGTCTGTTCCATGGTTTATGACTTCGGTCAAACCCTCCTGAAGGGGTATGGTTTTTTGATGACAACTCTTTTTACTTGGGATGGAACTTCAGAGCAATATTGAAAGTCATTTGGGTGGGAGGGTGGCATGTGGGGGGACCCACAGAAGGCACCAGGGCGACCGCTAGGTGAGACACAGGTGAGGACTCTCGTGGTTTCTCTCATACTTTAACATCCTGCCTCTCAAGTCAGCGTGGTTTTCATCTCAGTTTCCAAACATTTTTAGCTGTGCAAAGTTTGTTTAAGCAAAGCACATATAGAACCCCACTCTGCAAATGTGAAAAGGCCCTGCTTAAAGAGAGGCAGGGTGCCTGGAGTCCTGTCTGCTCTTGTTTCTTCTTCTCCGTCTCTTAGAATCTTGAAAGCCATCAGGCATGATCTGAAAACCCCTGGGGTTGTTTTGAAAGACACAGGCTTTGGAATCCATTGAAGTCAAATGCTGGCTCAACCCTTGATTTGCCTTCTCTTGAACCTCTTTTTCTTTAACATACCAATATCTTTTTATTAAAAATAAATCATAAACATATAACTTACATTCAGTCATGAATAATGTGTGGAAAGTGTCTGGCCCTTGAGTGTAGGTGTTCAATAAATAACAGTTTGATAGAGGCCTCAAACAAGCCCCCTTTGCCAGGGCTGTGGGGGGTTCTAATATGAATAAGAGACTTCACAAAGCAAGGGTCTGTTCCCTTCTCTAGGATGGCTAGAAATACAGATGAGGAAACAAAGTGCTGTGGGAGGGAAAAGGAGGGAGTGAGCATTTCTAATCAGACTTCCTGTTGCCTATACAGCGTCATTTTGCACTTCTTACTCTGTAATAGCAGCCCTAATTTCCATCTGGAATCACAGTTGCTGGGAATGGAAACATTTCCCAGCCTCCCTTGCTGCAAGTGGCCATGTGACTAAACATTGATCAATGAAATGTAAGCAGAAGCAGAAACCTCTTTGAGAGACATGGGTGCTATCCTCCCTCCCATCTTCTCCCCGCCCACTTCCTCTGTCTCACTGCTGAGAATGTGCCTGGCTGACTGGGTTTTATTTAGCACCCTAAAGAAGGCACTGGTTAAAAGGAATATTTGGAGAATTAAAGTGTTAATAGACCTACAAAGGACGAATGATTTCATTTTTCTTCAGTGTATCACAAAGGTTCAACAGTGATCTTCAACTGATACATCCTGTAGCAGCTTTTCTCCAAAGACGTTAGGTGGCTTTGTCAAACATCCCACAGTCCCATGGTGGGTGGGTGGGGTCCTGCTGATTATGAACAACTGGATTTCAGGGCCTCAGGCCAGGTTCTCTCTAACATATATATATGTTAGAGCTGATGGGCTGTGATCAGTTAAGGGATATGTTAGAAAGATCTACACTGTAACTACTAACACTTATTAAGCTCTTATTACATCCTAGGCCTCATACTAAATGCAGGTATGAACTTACTTAATCCTTCCAGCAATCCTATGAGGCAGGTGCTGCCATTATTATTGATTGCAATTTTATAGGTGAGGAAACCAAAGCACAGCTAAGTTAAGACTTTCAAAAGGTAGGCAGGAAGCAGCAGATCTGGCATTTCAGCCCAGGCTGTGTGGTTCAAGTCCCAGTGATTATCCGCTATACGCTGTGGCCTTTATGCACTATCCAAATACTGAAGCTTGAAAATCATTTTTTAAAACATCAGTCAGAACGGCTTTCAAGCTATTACTATAATCCTTTATCCCTCATAGCACTTTTGTAGATTGCATTCTGACAAGTTTTCTTCAGTGATCGGGACAGAAGTGGCATTACAACCAGCACTGGGGGAATTTTGCCTAACTCTGCTTCTGTCCATGTATTTGTATCCTGAAAGTGACACCCGCTATGCAAGAGAAAATTCTTTACCAAAGTCTGGTTCTCCTTTTTCCTGGACAGAGCTAGCCTACTGCTCCCAGAGTCCCTTATAGTTAAGTGTGGCAAACTGAGATGTGAGTGGAAGTGCTGAGCATCACTTTCATTTTCACCTGTGCCTTCTCCACTCTTCCTTTCCCTTTTTATTTGCTAAATGCATGGGGGGCATGAAGGCTGTAGGGAGTGGCAGAGCCACAGAATACACAGAGCCTATGTCCCTAAACAGACATGCATCCATGAATCAGGAACATTTACCTTCAGCTCTTGAACAAAAATTTCCATGGTATTTGAACCTGTATACATTTTGGAGTCTACATATCCTGTGGCCTAGCCTACCCTAATACATGATTTTCTCTGCTATGGTCAAAGGTTGAGATTGGCTGTTTTGAGAACCTCAAGAATCCATGAAAGGGCCTGTGGAAATTCCAGATCTCCCTGCAGTCTTGTGTTTAAACAGCCACACCCCTCCTTCCCCAGATGCTGTGCTCCCTGGGCAAGGGCAAGGGACGTTAAGTCAGCAGGAAGCTGATGCATGCATTACATTACCACATCTATTTCCTTCAAGAGAGGTCGTGTTTCTCTTGGGGCTGGAGGCTGGGGGCCTCAGCCCAGGTGCCGAGGGGCCACCAGAAGACATGGGGCTGGTGCGGGAAGAGGTGGCAGCAGGACCTCCCCCAAGGTGGCTGTCTCCAGAGTTCTGCCTCTTGCAGTACAGCGAGGAGGGGGGCAAGGATCCCCTGTGGTTAAAGGTGGAGGCGGAGGGGTCCACGCCGTAGCGGTTCATGCCCACAGGGTGCACCAGGTACTCTTCAGTGGTGACTGTCTTGGCTGAGCAAGAAGGTAGTACAGAGAAGCAGATATCAGAGAGCAGTTCTGGAAGCTACCGGACCCTCCGTCTTGGCAAACCCTGCCCTGCCAACATAGTCACCTGTATCTGTGAGGATGGGGAGAGGAGAAATGAACCCCATAACACAGTTCCGGAAGCTACCGGACCCTCCGTCTTGGCAAACCCTGCCCTGCCAACATAGTCACCTGTATCTGTGAGGATGGGGAGAGGAGAAATGAACCCCATAACACAGTTCCGGAAGCTACCGGACCCTCCGTCTTGGCAAACCCTGCCCTGCCAACATAGTCACCTGTATCTGTGAGGATGGGGAGAGGAGAAATGAACCCCATAACACAGTTCCAAACAGCATACCTGTCAGCAGGCTGAGACAGCTGCCTCACCCACAGAAGCATATCGTAACAAGAATTAGAAGGTGTGCTCCTCTGTGCTTAGAGGAAAATTAATATTTTGGCCATTGATGACTTAAGAATAAGCCCGAATCAGGCCGGGTGCAGTGGCTCAAGCCTGTCATTCCTGCACTTGAGGAGGCTGAGGAGGGTGGATCACCTGAGGTCAGGAGTTCAAGACCAGCCTGGCCAACATGATAAAACCCCATCTCTACTAAAAATGCAAAAAATTAGCCAGATGTCATGGTGGGTAATTTTAGCTACTCAGGAGGCTGTAATCCTAGCTACTCAGGAGGCTGAGGCAGAAGAATTGCCTGAACTGGGAGGCAGAGGTTGCAGTGAACCGAGATCGCACCACTGCACTCCAGCCTGGGTGACAAGAGCGAAGCTCCGTCTCAAAAAAAAAAAAAAAAAAAAAAGAATATGCCCAAATCAAAGACTTTCTCCCACAGTGGCTCTGCCCTCACAGTCTCTGCTGGCTTCTCAGAATCTCCCTGTGCTCCCTGCTCTTGCTCGCCCACCAGCACAGACCCTGTCACCTGGCTCAGGACTCCTGGGACAGATCAAGCAAGAGTCACAATGTCCCAGAGTCAGGAGAGACAACTGTGGCCTGGGAGATGGCCCAGGTGCCACAGTGCTTTCTCCCGACACCTTTAGTCCTGATACACTGAGGGCAGCCACCTTCTGCCATGGCTAACAAGCAGGAACACAAGTACTGATCTGGACAGCCCGACAAGCCTCCCAAACCCTTCACAGGAGAGCTAAAGAGCCAAGCTAGGGTGTAGGGGGAGGAGACGACTTACAGACTCTCCCAACCTCATCATCAGTGCCTCTTAAGAATACCAGGACTTAGCGTACTTTTCTTTTTTTTTGAGATGGAGTTTCAATCAATCAGTCTGTCACCCAGGCTGGAGTGCAATGGTTCGATCTCAGCTCACTGCAACCTCTACCTCTCAGGTTCAAGGAATTGCCCTGCCTCAGCTTCCCGAGTAGCTGCCCGGATAATTTTATTTTTAGTAGAGACAGAGTTTTACCATATTGGCCAGGCTGGTCTTGAACTCCTGATCTCAAGTGATCTGCTTGCCTTGGCTTCCCAAAGTGCTGGGATTACAGTCCTATGCTTTTAAAGTGCAACATTGAGCCTGTTGATTTCCCTGTGAGCTATACCTGTGACCTGTGGCCAAATGGTGGGTTTTTTGTTTGTTTTTATTATTTTTATGTGGGGGTGGTTTTTTTTTGGTGGTGGTGGGGGAAGTCCAGAGAAATTATAGGAATACAAAGAAGAAAACTATTCTAGTCCCTCCCACCAGGACAAGATCATGTCTACCTATCCCCAGCAATAATTATCTGTGTGTTAGATACCATCAAAACAATCTTGGTATTCCCAAAGAAAAATGCAATCATCAACAACAACAACAGCAAAACCTTATAGATCCTCCATGACTGGCAATAAAAAACAAACTGAGGCCACAAGATCCAGACGTCTTCTCCATGCATGGATTCTTCACAATGTAGGTAGTGAAGTTTAAGACTTGATTTTATTAGGGGACCTAGCAGATCTTCTCATAGTCGGGGACAAATGTGGAGTCTGACTGGAAATAAAATTCATTGCAGATGGGATACAGTTAAAGCAGTGCTTAGAGGTAAATTTAGAGCTGTAAATGCTTCTGCTACAGAAAGAAAGATCTCAGTTTAATAACCTAATCTTCCATCATAAGACACTGGAAAAAAATTTAAAGCAAACAAGGAAATGATAAAGATTTGAGCAAAAATTAATTCAATCAAGAATTTAAAAAAACAATAGAACTCAATAAAACCAAAAGCTGGTTCTTCGGAAAAAGAATAAACAAAATTTCAGTCCTTTAGCTCGGTTTACAAAAAATAAACAAAGAAAACAAAGGAAAGTGAGAGTACTGAAATTACTAGAATCAGAAATGAAAACATGAGAGGGCATTGAACCTTACAGAAATTGAAAAAGATTAAAAAAATACAGATGTTTTGCTTACAGTGGGGTTATATCCCAATAAATTTATCACAAGTTAAAACTACCATAAGTTTAAAATGTATTTAGCATACCTAATCTACCACACATTATAGCTTAGCCTGGCTGACCTCAAGAATGCTCAGAACACTTCAATTAGCCTACAGTTAGACAAAATCATCTAATACGAGGCTAATTTTATGCTAAAGTGTTGAATATCTCATGTAATGTACTGAATACTGTACTGAAGGTGAGAAACAGAATTGTTGTATAGATACTTAAAAAGTATGGTTTTTCACTGAATGTTTACCACTTTTACACCACTGTAAAGTGAAAAAATCAAGTCAAACCATCTTTCAGGGAACCACCTGTTCCATGAACAATCATAGGCCAGTAAATTGGATAACTTAGATAAAATGAACAGACTACTAAAACTGACTCAAGAAGAAAAAGAAAATCTGAGTAGACTTGTAACAAGTAAAAAGACTGAATTAATAATCAGAAAACTACCCACAAAGAAAGCCCGAGCCTGGATAACTTCACCATTGAATTCTACCAACCATTTAAAGAAAAAAATAATATCAATTCTTCATACAAATTCTTTCAAAAAATAGAAGAGAGTGGAATACTTCCCAACTTCTATGGCAAATACTTCTATGAAGCCAGGATTGCCCTTATACCAAAACCGGACAGACACAGCATAAGAAAACTACAAACCAGTATCTCTTATTCATATGAAAGTAGAAATCCTCAACAAAAAACTGAACCCAGCAACATATAAAAAGATCTATACACCATGACCAAGTAGGATTTATCCCACGAACGCAAGGCTGAGTTAACATTCAAAAATCAATTAATGTAATATACCATATGGATAGACTAATAAAACAAAGATCACATAATCATCTAAACAGATGCAGAAAAACATTTGACAAAATCCAAGACCCTTTTATGAGAAAATCACTCAACAAACTAGGAATAGAAGGAACTTTCCTCAACCTGACAAAGGGTATCTGCAAAAAACCTATAGCTAACATCATGACTAATGGTCAAAGACTGGATACTGTGCCCCTAAGATCAGGAACAAAAAGAGGCTGCCCATTCCAGCTACTTCTATTAATATTGTACTAGAGGTTCCAGCCAGCGCAATTAGGTTAAGGGAAAAAAAAGCCATCTAGATAGGAAGGAAGAAGTAAAACTATCTCTTATGTGTATGAAATCCTAATGAATCCACTTAAAAGACTATTGGAACTAGTAAGTAGTTCAGCAAAGTTGTAGGATACAAAATCAATGTGCAAAAATCAATTCTATTTCCACACATTTGCAATTAACAATTAGAAAATAAAATAGAGAATAATTCCATTTATAATAGCATGAGAAAGAACAAAATATGAATAACTTTAACAAAAGTTCAAACATACTCTGAAAACTACAAAACATCATTGAAAGAAATTAAAGAAGATATAACAAAATGGGGAAAAAAATCTCATGTTCATAGATCAGAAGGCTTATTTTTAGGGTGATCAAATTGATCTACAGATTCTTTGCTGATTTCTTTGTAGAAATTAATAACCTAATTCCAAAACTCATACGGAATTGCGAGGGACACAGAATAGCCAAACCCATCATGAAAAAGAAAAACAAAGTAGAATCACACTTCCTGATTCCAAATTTAGTACAAAGCAACAATAATCAAGACAACGTGGGAGGTCATCATGTTAAGTGAAATAAGCCAGGCACAGAAAAACAAATATCGCATGTTCTCACCCATATGTGGGAGCTAAAAAAAGTGAATCTCATGAAGATAGTAGATTGGTGGTTACCAGAGGCCAGGAAGGGCAGGGGTCAGTGGGGATAAAGAGAAGTTGATTAAAGGTGCAAATATATGGTTTTACAGAAGAAATAAGACCTAGAGTTTAAGAAATGATTTGAGTGACTATAGTTTACAACATCTATTAAACATTTCAAAATAGCTAGAAGAGAATAATTCAGATGGTTCTATCAGAAAGACAAAATATTTAAGGTGATGGATATCCCAAGTACCCTGATTTGATCTTTACAAATTATATAAATGTATCAAATTATCACATGTACCCTAAACACATTTGCATTGATTTTAAAAATTGTCTAAAAAATAAATAAATAAAGCCAATGTCATTGGAGGGGGTGGAAAGACGGTGTGGTTCTGGCATTTGGATAAGTATACAGATTAATGAAATAGAATTCAGAGTCCAGAAACAAATCCATGTGTCTATGTTCAGCTGATTTCCACAGGGGTGCCAAGACCATTCAATGGAGGAAAGAATAGTCTTTTCAACAAATGGTCCTGAGACAACTGGATATCCACATGCAAAAGACTGAATGAAGCAAAACCCTTATTCACACCATATACAAAAATGAACTCAAATGAATAAAAAATGTAAATGTAAGAGCAAAAGCTATAAAACTCTTAGAAAGAAACATAGGGGGTAAATCTTTGTCACCTTGGATTTGGCAAAATATTCTTAGATTTGACTCCAAGAGCACAAGCAATAAAACAGTAAAATGAATTAGATTTCATTAAAATTGAAAACTTTTGCACTTCTGCACTGGGCATGGTGGCTCATGCCTGCAA